GGCAACGGTGGCGGCGGGGCGACCGCTTCGGCCACCGCTACGGCTACTGCGCATGCCACTTCCAATTCGTGAGTATCGATGGTACTGAATTACTTTCACCCATAGATATTTAACCTATATATACCTAATCCGGAGCACCAAAGTAAGGCCTCCAGAGATATTTTATTGGGGAACTTGAATTCTCTCACTGTTGTTATTTCCAAAATAACATTACGAAAATCAACTTTAGACTAGACTTTAAACTTGTATGAAACTGTCTGTAGGTTAGATATTTATTCTACCTTTAAAGTCCAAACATGGAATTATGTAAAAATTATTTTGTATTTCATCCTTAGAACTGTAAAGTCATGCCAAATTTGCTACCCGATTTTAAATTTGTCAATCCATCCAGTAGATCACATAGTAAAATAAAATTAGCATTTATCATGGTTATTTTTAATTTATTTTAGTTGATCTAATATCACTAAAAATCTGTGTAAAAACTTATTCCAAAAAAAATTTTTACAGGTATGGAAAGCGCAAATAAGAAATGTCGAACGACTAATAACTACAGAAAGAATATAAACCGAAGTGAGATTGAAATTATGCCGTTTAGTATTTGCGGTCTGGAATACAATCTTCTTGAAATCTTAAAACTTCCAAATACTATTTGCATCGTATTCTTTTGTTATTAATTTCTTAATTCAAAAAAAGCTGACGTCTATTGTTTGATGTATAATGGAACATCGAAATGGAATATTTTATATTATTTATAAAATCTACAATATAAATAAGTTAACAATTTTTTTAATGTCAAACGTTTATTATTTATTCAGCTATGATTCTACAGTAAATCTAAATTAATTTATGACATAATAACAAAAATGTATGTTGTAATTTTTTGAATTTGCAAATTGAACAAAATTTAATTGTAATAATAAAAGAAAACATGTAAACTCAGTGCAATGTTTATATTTAAAGCATACATACAGCATGTGCGACATTTTGTATTTAAGATAGACATTAATTTAAAAAATAGTTATAAAATTATTTTATACAAATACTTATTTTATTTCAAAATACTTATCCATCTAATGAATCCTAAAAACAATAATTTGTTAACACCGCATAGAGTATTTGACGTCCAAAAGTGTCACCCTCGACTTCGTCAGCGCAGAATGCAATAGCAAAAACTCCCGCACACAAAAGATGCTATCTTCACATAAAAAGTCCCATCAAAATCGGTCCAGCCCATTGTGATATTTCACAGTTCACAAAACAGTTCAACAGTGTACCGGTCGAAGACGGGAAGGCCCGGGATTTTATGAAGTCGTGCTTTTGTATCATCTTTTTTGGACTATATCTAAAATAACAAGCATATTATCTAATTCGATTAACCTTCATATTAAAAATTCCTTTCATAATATTTGTAATTTAACGCCTACTGCGTTTTCATTGCAATCAAATTAACTAACATATTTGCTGTATTATATTTTTCTAAATTTAATTGTGGTCTTTGTTAGCAGTTAAACCTTTTTTTACATAACTGTTTAGTTCTTTAATTTAAAATTGAATGCAAAATAGATTATCAGGTGATAGTAAAACAAATTATTTCTTTAAGTCTTGCCTTATTTTTATTTATTATTGAACACATTCTTTTTATATTAGTTTTCTTTTTTTTATTTTTATTAATGATTAAGATTAAACAATTATAGCGGTATTAATAATAGACTCACGAGTGACCCTAACCTGAATGAAGTACAAGTCTTTAGATAGGAATGTTTCAGTGAATCCTCACCTCCTTCCCTTCCACTATTATATCCACGGCTCGAGTCACGACAGCCAATTAAACTAATCGTAGTCAATCAATCAAAAATAACGCGGATTAAACCGAACAAGCTACTCGGTGTAAAGGCTTGTTAAAGCCATTCATCTGTAATTTAAAATTTTCTAAAGCCTTGTCATTTTTGAGACAGCCTTTTTATAATATAACTAGATCTCGCACACGACTCCGACCGCGGCGAATTAAAAAAACTTAATTAATTACCCTATGTGGCCTGCCAGACTATTTTCTTCATTCATGCCAAATTTCATCGAGATCCATTCAGCCGTTCCGGAGATACCTTCAAACATCCATTCATCCATCTAAACATTTGCATTTATAATATTAGTAAGACTAGATCTCGCCTGCGATTCCGACGGCGCGGAATTAAAAAAAACTTAATTAGTAGCCTATATGTTCTTCCATATGTTCTACGTCTATGCCAGATTTCAGCGAGATCCATGCACCCATTCTGAATATACTGTCTAACAAAAGTTTTATGGAATGTCGAAATTATAAAAACGGCTAAATTAAACCGTGCCACTTCTGAATTTAGTTCGTTTCTTAGTAATTTACAGCACTATGCGAAGAAAGATTTAATATTAGACAAGTAACGAACATAAACAAGAAGATTCTCCACAAAACAAATTAAATCATTCAGACATACCGACTATAAATAGATATATAAATTTGCACCAATAGCACAATAACAAATCGAACCAATATTGTAGGTAGTATTAAAAGATAAGTTATTCCAGAAACATTACTAGCATTTATCTTGTTTAGCGCACAGATACAGAGCTGACATTTCACCTTTTTAGCTATTTCAATTGACCTTCATTTAATTATCGTTTAGATTTATAGCTTAACCTACTTGCTAATTTTACAAAATTAATATCAATATTGCAAATAGCAATAAAGGAATAAATCGGCTGAAGAGAACCATTATTTTAAAAGAAGGTTACAAAAGTGAATAGTGTTAAAAAACAAACAAATACTTACCATCTTAAACCGGCAGTGAGATCTTTATTGCAGATTATTGAATCGACTTTGTACACTTAATGACGTTACAATTTCTAGTTTCAGTTCAACTTTTTGCAAAGTCCCAGTTTCTTTTGTCTTCTTAAATACCAAAGATCCATACCAAGAAAGTTGTTCAGTGACTCGATTTATTAAACATTGATTGGAAAATAAACATTTTATAGTGTTGATTTGAAAGTCATGTGTTGTTGTTTCCAGATAAAAAAAATAAGTACCTACATGGTGTTAAATTCCTTATGAATAGAAAAAAATATTTTTCATTAATAAAGTCTGACTAATGCGTATGGTCCGCAGAAATTATAAATAAATATGGTATTAAAAAAAAATTAAAAAGTTTTTTTTTCATAAATTGATAAAGTTTCGTAACAAAATTAGATGAAACATTATTTTTTTTTGCAAAAATCTAACTACAAATTCTACTAAAAGAAATAGTTTAACAACTTCGATGTAAAGCTTTTATTTTTGAGTAAATTAGTATAGTTAATATGGCAACATTTTACCAAGAGAGTTAAATATAAGCATGTATTGTTGGTTGTTAAGTGCATATCGTAAACTAAAGAATCTATGTTGAAGTCTAAAACGACTATAGAGTCGTACAAAAGGAAAATCCACATTATTCCAACTTTCTACAGCTTTCAGTCGACTGTTAAATATTTATGTTAACGAATTGCAAGCTATTTACTTGTCACAAGTAACTCACATGAAAACAAGCTTTAAAATAAATCGATACATGTTACATACGTCTTAGAGATATGAAAGTACAATTAGTTTAAGTCTGCATTTAATGATTTTTTTAAGTTTTGCTGGTATTCAAAAAGCGGTAAAAGAAAACGGGGAAGACAACTCAAAAGATGGGAAGACTAGATAAAAGCAGTGGCGGGACAGTCCTGGTCTATGAAGGCTAATAAGAGAAGAATGGAAGAATTCCGAAGAGGATTTGTCCACATGGGACAAACAGATATAAACTTAAATACTAACTTAACTTAAACTTTAAATAATGTAATGTAACGAAATGTATCTGAATAAAGGCTTATTATTATTATTATATTAAGTTTTAAAATAAATAAGATTTCAAGATAATTTAAATTTTTTTTTGCAAAACACCCTAACCTAACTACAATTGTAAAATCTCCCATGACTTGTGTCCACATGGATTTACTAAAATAAATTAAACCAAGTTTTTTGAAGCTGCTTAAATAAATTAAAAGTGCTTGAGGATAACCGTTGTTTAATGTTTACTTAATGGTTTGAAATTACTGACTCTGTATTAATCGCCAGTTAAAAATATTAAATTCATGAAACGCGTCATAATAAAATTAAAAATTCGTTATACATTGTTTTAGCATCGCAATGCGAATCAATAGATTTATGATGAACTGTTTTTAATTTGATATTTAAACATTTTTATTGCATTGGAACAATTTGTGCAAACATCTAAACATTTCTCGTTTTTACCAAAAAAAAAATTGCGACTCCTGATTTTGTAGGTTGTAAAAATTGCTATTCAATATATATGTACTTGCTCAAATAGATATTTTACAAATATGGTTCTTATTTTTAATCAAGAAAATAGTTCATTTATAGATAGTATTGTGGAGGAAAGCTGCATCCTACAGGTTGGCCGGTACCGTTCTAGGGCGGCGACGCGACGCCGGTGTTTTTAATCCGGTTCTGTGGTCCGGCGCATCACTCCGCGCCCTGCCGTCGACGTCGTAGCCCGTTCACTCTTCTTGTCTATTATTTATATAGTAATAATGTACAAATCATTGGTTCTCATCTGTGCTTTGTGCTTGGTGATTATTGGTGAGTTTTTTTTTGTTAAAATAAAAAAATATATATTGGCTAAAACTATTTATTAATTATTTAGCAATGAAAATATTAGATGCTCGCAAAGAAAACAAAATAATTATTAATTTACAACTTTTTAATTTATTATATTAAAAATTCTAGAAATTAAATATGATTCATGCATTTGCTGGAAAACGAATATTATTATTATTATAATTTTTATTATTTCCGCGTTAGATAAATAGAATATGAGAATAATTCTATATAAATCATTCAATATTTAACTGTATATTAAAATATTGAATACAATATTTATCACTCTTAGATATCAACGCATTTACAATATAATAGGAAAATAAAACTATTTTAATAGATTCAACTCGGAAGTGCTATTAACAATAAGATTAAATTAATAATACTACCATTTTTTCGCGACTCCGTCCACGTAGAATTAAGAAAAAACTTAATTTGTAGTAACCTATATATTCTTCCAGACAGTATAACATCTATGCCAAATTTCAGCGTGATCCATTGAGCCGTTTCAGGGATACCTTCAAAAAGACGTCAAAACTATTGCATTTATTTAATTAGTAACGTATAACCGATCTTACATATAGCAAGAAAATACGTATCAATTTTAATTACGATTTCAAATAATAAGTTTATCTAGCCGTCGCCCGCGACACAGTCCGCGCTGAAAAAAAATTAGTAGCCTTTGTGTTCTTACAGACTATGTTCTACATCTGTACCAAATTTCAGCGAGATCCATGCAGTTGTTCTAAAGATACCTTCTAATAAAAACTCATTCATCTATCTATACAATCGCATTATAATATTAGTAAGAAACTTATATGAAAACGGCTAAACACTCACGTATATTCGGCCGGTGGCGGCACCGACTATTTTCGAGCCGACATATTCCGATGATATGAATAGTTTAATGAGTAAGAAATATATTTTTTACGATCAGGATATGCGATTACTAACACACGCATTAACAATTGAAATCTTACACGTAAATAGCTTAATTATAAAATGAATGATTACTTTGCATGCTCTGCTTGTAACTAACAAAAATACACGACATAGCATGCTGCATGTAACCAATCAATTAAACAAACAGACAAGTAAACACGATAAATGTTCCGTTATTTTGAAATTGGAAACAATTAAAAGTATAACAACATTCACATCAAAGCCCTAAGGGGATAGTTGATTGAAAATAACGGTTGATAAAACTGGCACAACTTTCGTTTACAAAATAAACGTGAGTTTTCATTGCGTATTCACTGTAAAATATAACGTTTTATGTTTAAATATAAACCAAACATACATAGTATAGAGTATAGACACAAGAGAGCTTTGGCTCTATAACTATATAGCATAATCAGAGTTCTTAAATGGTTAATGACTGCTTAAGATACTATATGACTTTAAATGTGGTCGTTAACTACAGCGATACAGTCCTATAGGTAAAGCCTTAAAGAGGCATTAACATATCTCATCTTACTCCAAAATCCGACCGTTAAAAATATGTTTATAATTTGATATTTAGTTATAATCAATTATTCAAACTTTCGTGTGACATTATACTAAACTGATATATAAACACGGCTTAACACTCACGTTTATTCGTCCGGTGGCGGCACCGACTAGTTTCGAGCCCATCGGGGACCCTTCAGTGAGTGGGTAGTCAGGGGTGTGAGCGACGGGCCGCGTCCGCGAAGTAATACCAGTACCCAGATGAAGGGCCCCCGATGGGCTCGAAACTCTTCGGTGTCGCCACCGGACGAATATACGTGAGTGCCTAGCCGTGTTTATATATTAGTTTAGTTATAATCAAAATTTCAGCCAGCATTAAGGCTACGTTATATTTTAATAATATTTGTTCTTTAGTAGCTTAAGTGATAAAAATACTGGCAAATATTCAATAGTAAGTTATAAGGCTCTTAATTTATAATAATGGGTTATTGTGTAGGCATTTTGATTTATTAGTATATAAATGCGATTGAATAAAACAAAGATATATCATTAAATAATTTAAAAACAAAAAAAAGATGACACGCAAATCGATGCATAAGCAAACTTATTTATAATTCCGAGTCACGGCGGTTTGGGTCGTGAGCTCCGTGAAGTCGAGATCATGGTTGCTTCGGGTTTTTTTTCTATTGTAAAATAATATTCATTATAATATCAATTAAAGCCTATTCATTGTAAATCGCAAAAAGTGTGAATAGAAGATTAAGTTTTTTATTGTTATGGATGTTTTTGATCGTAAATGTTGTGTAAAATTTAACGATAACACATAGTAATCTAAATATAAAAGCTTTTAGTGTATGTCATTAACTTTAATAGATTTTAATAATTTATTAAAACTCAAGTATTAATTTTAATGAACATTGGAGCTTTTTCCAGCATTAACTGCTGAACAACAGAATATAACCTTAAATCAAAAGCTTGTCGATCAGTCAATAATAGTCCATTTATCTCCGAAAAACGTTTCTCTATCGGAATTTTCTTTTGTATTTTATAGGATGAAACCATTACCATTGATTTCTAATAATTATTAATTGAAGCTTACTGAAATTACAAAATTAAAATTCACAAATATATAACAAATTCAGTAGAAACAAATTCTTACGTCATTTTTATTAATACAAGTCCAACTACATTTTAAAACTCATAAAAACACGCATAAGAATTTCTTTGAATAACAAATTAAAATAAAAGACATGCTACAGGTAAATGTTCTTAACAAATTAATAAAGTAATTTTGTATTATGTGTGCATTTAAATTATTTGAATCTTTTCACATGATCTAATACGAAAAGCTTTTAATCACAATTTTAATATTACAATATCCATAACTTTCAATTGAAGAAAAAATAACCTTAGAAATATTTATTTGAATAACTAACAATTTAATTAATATAGCCCTGACATTTTGCCAAATGCGTACGTAAAACACTAACCGTTATGTTGCATAACTTAAAAAAAAAAAAGATTATGTCTTATTTTTACTAAGGAATAGGAAGATAATCAAAGAGAACAGGCTTATAATTATTTATTCTATGCTTTTACCTATTTTTTTTTATTCGGAACAACTGACTACTACATAATGTATATACATCGATATAATACATAACAAAGACTTAGTAATTATGTACCCAACACCGTTACTCACAATTATAATTAAAAATAAAGAAAGACCTATCATTTATTATTATTCTAAAGAATATACAGGGTGTCCCAAAAGGTTACGTACATAGGAAGGGGGATGATAGGGGTGGTCACAAGGGTCACCAGAAAAATAAAATAAAAATTCCCCTCTGGGTATTAAAAAAAATAAATGGCATTTTTTAAAAACTTAAAAATTTTACACCTTCTGGGGCAATTTTGTAGCCGATGACCAACAAATATTGCTATATTTAAAAAAAACTACTATGTTATCGTCAATAAAACTTTATCAATATGAAATAAAAAAAACAATACAACTGACAAAGATTTTAAAGAAAATTAAAATTGCCCCAGAAGGTGTAAAATTTTTAAGTTTCTAAAAAATACCATTCATTTTATTTTAATACCCAGAGGGGAATCTTTATTTTATTTTTCTGGTGACCCTTGTGACCACCCCTATCATCCCCCTACCTTTGTACGTAACCTTTTGGGACACCCTATAGAATAGATCTTAACTGATTACGTAATATTCGCTTTTGTAATATTGTTTATATTGCAGTTTATAATTATCTTAAATTGAGTTAATATTTAGTAAAACTTATGCAAGAGTCCATTTTCCAATGCAAGAGACTAGCACCTATTCACAATGTAGAGTCATCTTTATGTTAAATCCTTATTATTAACCTTTTCAAACATAAAATGACGCGGATATTTAATATATTAAAATCCTAAAACTCATCGAAAATATCGCGAACTGATATCATCTTTATTCTAAGAAAGATTTCGAGTCTCGACCAAAAAGAAGCTCTTGACCACGAAGTCGAAACTGCCAGTGGTCCGGCGATATAAAAAAATAATTGACCTGACTCACTTTAAATACAATCAACAGGTGGCATGATAACATTTAACCGAATCATTTCCATTGCTGTGAAAGTTAGACGTGAAAGTACATCCAAGTTAGGTTTCCCAGCAATGTATACGTATCGTGTCGAACGATACACATTGCCCCCCTACCACCGGATGGTAATTGGAATTTTATAATAATGCAAAAACAAACACGATGAACCCGTTCCGAGGCGAGTTTACACACCACTGGACAGGACAATGACTCTCCCGTTACGGACACTACCCGTTAAGGACTCGCATAGATACGGTGCCTGAGTAAGCTTTTTCAAAATTCTATGATGGCTTTTAACAAAATCTATTAAGATTCAATGGTTATTTTTTGTAATATTAAAATATTAGTAGTTTTTTTTTATTTAAATATGCCTGTGATAGGAAATGGTTTACGACAATAGTCAAATTTTCGAAACCACGGGCGGTAGTCCGTACCGCCTAACTATTAGACTATTGGCACATCTAAAATACATAGAGGTTTATTTATGGATTAATTTTCTATATTTTAAAAGCACAATAAGCTTAAATAGACAACGACTGCGGAATTCCATGACTCAAACAACCATTGGTCTGGGCTGAAGAAACAGAAACCTTCTCACGATGCGTGCGGTTTCTAGCATAAATGCCTGAAACTTAAAAATATGCATTTCTATTATAATACTAATAAACTCTCTGTGAGCATGAAATAACAATCAACAGAAATAACTACCGCAAATCAACTACCGTTATTTGTTATGAACATTTATCAATATTTAAATTTAATTGGAATCCGCTTATCCTTGAAAATCAAACGTCAGGGTGTTTGTTGTTTTTATAATTAGATGTGCGGATGTCTATTTCAATCTTATACAAATATTTGTCTTCAATTATGTATAATTTAATCACATCTATATAATCGAATAGTCCACCCAATGCATAGGTTTCTCGTCTCTCTTGTCTCAATGCTGTAAGGGTAGTCAAAAATCAAGATTACTATTTCTTTGTTGTTCAAATAACAATCAACAATTCAACATAACATTGACATCTTTATTTGTTATTGGCCTTTGTTATTGCATTGCATTATACAAACACTTCAAATGACAAAGGTAGAAGCTAGAATTGATCATGTCTTAACCTCGACGTTCTGATTAACCAAACAGATAGTGATTTGTTTCTACAATTCTATATACTATTCGTAGATAAACTTTTAGGTTGATGCCTGAACGATAAAAAAACTTCAAGACTGAAGTCTTGTAGTTTTTTCCCACATCCCTATGAATAGGGACCTTCAAGAAGCGATACCATATCCTTAAAGGCCGGCAACTCATCTGCAGTTCCTCTGGTGTTGCAGATATCCATGGGTATCGTTGATCACATCGGTGTTCCCGCAGCTCGTTTGCTCCCTTCTCTTATACGAAAAAACACATTTGTTTAAAATTAAACTCAACTATTCGACAATTTGTATAAAATATCTCGAAGTTTTTAAGGTTAATTAGATAGATATTGTTAGTTAATGATATTTTTGATTGCACAAAAATATCTACAGTCTAAAATGTCACTTTAATCATCAATCAAACCAACATACTAATCGACAAACGTTATTGTATTATTTCGATTATTATGTTTATGTATTCGTGAATTACTTCACAATTTTCCGTAGATTAATGGACATAGGTCATCACAAAGCGCTTTGGAATCGGAACGCATATGTACAACGGACGTCAATCCATCAAAATCATACTTTCACGAAACAAAATCACACTGGCATTCTATTTTGTTCCTTAAAAATAAACAGTATTAGGTTAAAAATAATATTCTTATTGCAACAAAAAACCAGAGGCTACAGTTAATTTGACGAGCAAAAAGTTTTCAAGTCAAAACAAACCGTTATATATACTCTTAATGGATTTCTCGTGGATGTTAATCAAAATTATTATTTTAGTGATTCTTGATCAGTTAACTTTAGTTTTGCTGAGGCCCTATCTGGTTTACTACAGCTTAAGTGATAGCTAACTGGCCAACCAGACCAGTTAGCACTGCCATATACGCCTACGCGTCCATTTCATTTCAGTATGGCTTTATTTTATCAGAATTGACACCAATAAAAAGTATAAAAGTCCCAAACTGTACAACGTACAGACAACTAATTATTTATCTTATTGCCGAATAACATACGACAAAAGCAATCTATTCTAACAAATTGGAATGTGTAACCGTTTGTTTCAACTGCCAAAACATTCAGAGGTTAAGAGTTTAAGTTAAGGGATTGTGTCCGTCTTCGTGCGTCTATTACCATTTTTCGTAGACATATGCAACCTCATTGGCGAAGACATTCATTGTGCCAGTATTGAACTACAAAACGAAATATTTAGTCTACTAACATAACTCGATAACTTCTTGTTAGCGTGGTATATGAAAGCAACGTGTAAATTGGGTGCTTGAACAGTACAGTTAGACAAATCTCGCGGCCATGCTCCGCTGTTGTACCGTTATCAAACTCAATTTTAGATTTGTTACAAAAAATGTACTCATAAACGCATTATTTTGTTAAGTATTGAAAGAATGTATTCAAACTAGGTTTTCGATTGATAAAACGAAGACGTATTTGGCATTTTTGATGAAATCTTTTATGACAAACTAAAGGATTATGTTGTTAAATACATTTTGGAATAAATAAATCCTGAGAAGAACCTCTTAAGACAAGTGTATACTTGTGCTAGTGCACCTTATCTCAGACTACTGTTTGTAAAAGCTAATACAAAATCACTTACACCAAGTTAAATCTAAGCAAATGTTTAACTAACAAAGTGAAATTTCATCGTAATTATACATACACTTATACTCGAACACATAGTCAACGCAAAGCTAAACCTAAATCCGGTACCATTTGTTTAAAAGGCTACACAAAGATTCCTTACTCCAGGGATGTACTTTAAAAAACAAGACGATTATTGTTAATTCCAATACAGCTATAGGATTCAATACAGTATTGTAGTGATGTCAATTCATTAATATTTACAATATATCGAACATTCAAACTTATTAATTAAGTGTACGTGTTCTTCTAACTCGGCTTCTTGGAAATCCACACAGATCAAAATGCCTCTAACATTTCCTTTAAACATCGTCTTTATTTGAAATAAACCCCAATATTTTTCTTAGGAACGGAATTTTGCAAAGAAAATTTATAATTAGTTGACGTTCTCATCTCGTATCATAGTAAGTGTATTTGTGTGTCATTGGTTAATTAAAACTCTCAATATTTTATGAGACGGTACTTTATTTTTAAACATCAATAAAGAGTTACCAACAATCTAGATTCTGCACAGTATTGATAAATCGACAGTACCAAGTTGAACGACCGTTAACAAGGAAAACGTCTGTACAAGCAGACTCGTCTATCCCATTATCTATTAGCAAATTTACGATGCACGTTGCATTAGCGTGTTTACTCCCGTCCGGACAGCGGGTCAAGCGATAGCATTCGCCATTAACCTATGTTAATATTATAGGAAAAGTTTACGCTCAATTTTAATAACTAATATGATAACACTTAACTCAATGTCATCATTTTGAATATCACTAACAATATTAAGTGGTAATGTACATACCTAACCTAAAATCTTACTGTTAATATAAATGCGAATGTTTGGATAGATGGACGAATAGATGAATGGATGTTTGTTTGAAAATATTCATAACGGCTAAACGGATCTCGTCGATAAGTGGCATAAATGTAGAGCGTACTCTTGAAGAATTAATTTGACGCGGACGGATATCGGACGACAGCTATTTCGAATGTAAAAAAAATATGGCGATGAGAAATATTCAATCAAAACATTACTAATTCTCTAGAAAAACGAAATGTGTCGACATAAATAATCTATCGATTAAAACCGAAGCTATAGTCCATTTCCTATATAAAATCATTAAACGGTCTTACTTAATACAAGACAAATTAAAGGAATCATTAAAAGCTTTTATGTAAATCGAATTACCGCTAACGTCCAACAGGTTTCTCTAATGTACAGTTGTTCTAAAATGTCATACTCGACTCATGATTAATCATTCATTCCAAATTGACTGAACACATAAAATTAAGTCTTAATTGATTATAGATATTGAAAGACATTCGATCCAAATCGCTAACGTATTATCAGTAGTTAAAGGACAGACCGTTAGCTGCAAAAACAAAGCTTAAAAGCTAGCTGTGTGTAGCAACCCTAGCTTACCTCCTTCTTTATTAAATTTGGGTAGCATAAAATACGTGGCATTTCATCAAAAGAAATGTATTTAATTAGGATTTTGTTTCAAAGCAATAAAAAAAATTATATTTCCAGAGGCGCGACCAAAATGGCAGTTCTTACCTCCAGTGCCTGGCTACGTACCCGTCTACATCAGATCTGGAGACACACCGCTGGAGGAGATCAATCCAGAACTAGCTGAAGCCTTCCACGCATTACCAGCTGGCAGGAGCGCTGGTAAACTTGTGGATGCCGCACCAGAAATACCAGATCAAGCTGACCAGGCACAGCCCGACGTGGTATTAGAACCAGAAGAGCATCACTACGAAAAAAAGTTTCTAGACAAGAAAAAGAAAGCCACTGAAGTAGTTAAACCTAGCGAACGCAGATAGACGTTGTACTTAAATCATTTTTATATATACTATTTTATCATACAACAAAGTACACTGTGTTAATATTGTTGTAAGAAAAAGTTAAATAATAAAAATAAAATCTCTATTGCAAGTATTTAACTTGACAATATGTGGTTGATATTTGAGGGGATTAAAATAAATATTTGGTATTAACTTTCTTATGCAGTTACATATTTTGTTTTAAAGAATAAAGTCTAAGTTGTACCTTTGAAATAACTATTAAAAATGCTTGCCATCTGCTTTATATTATAATTTAAATTAAATATACTAGAGTCTTAATTAATTTAGACAAACACAACTTATGTAAATTATATTTTTTTTTTCAAATAAATTAAATAAAAATTTTAATTTTTCATTTTCTTTACAAACGTTATCATATTTAGATTGGACCTTTCTACTCTTAAATAAAAAACACAGATAAAAAATAAGATAAATGAGCAATGATTAAGCCCCTATTCGGACCCGTTAGAACAAAAAAACACATTTCCGTGTATCTTTTCATATGGCAGTGCTTTAAAACGCGACGCTTATTTATCTTGTAATGTTGCATTTTGAGTCCTTCGCAAAAGAAAAGACTGATTATAGTTCACTGCTTGAGAGCAGCAGGCGCTGTTTTAACGTGACATTTAAAAAGCGTCCGTGCAAATATTAATATTTGGTGAAAATAGGAATGTCAGTAAAAGAAAAAATTAAACGATACGATGGGACGTACTTTATTTATTCAGTTTCATTATTTACAACCAAATTACTTACAAATATGTTTTCCTTAAAATAACAATTCTTTATCTATAATTTTATATAACAATCTATTTACATTAAAACAACTTATTTGACACTAGAGGAATTAGGGGGTTAGATAAAGTGCATTCGCTCCTAAGTGATTCTATAACGAACTTCAAAAATGTAAGGAACTGACAACAACTTTCGATAAGTCACGTGATTGCCGCACGTCATTCCCATACATTTTTGAAGTTCGCTATGGAATCGCTTCGAAACGAATGCATTTTATCTGACACGTCTGCAATACTTTATGTCGTTCAAACCTGACTAAATGGAGGGTAATGTTTTATGTAAGAATGTTTGTATGTATACATACAACATTTTGTATGAATCTCAATTCCATTATCTTATGTATAAAATTCTCGTGTCACAATTTTCATTCCCATACTCCTCCGAAACGGCTTGACCGATTCTCATGAAATTTTGTGAGCATATTGAGTAGGTCTGAGAATCGGCCAACATCTATTTTATAATCCCGCGCGGACAAAGTCGCGGGCGACAGCTAGTAACCTCTAAATAAACGGTTAAACCGATTTTGACGTGTGAGGTGTCTTTGGACACGTATTGTTTCACAGATTATACTTTTTAGCACACACGAGTTTAGTAGACACATATTCGCTTTTTCTTTTGATGATCTTTTATGATAATTTAACATTTATATAAACATACACATAATGTAAGAGCAGAAATAATTTGTGACAATATCTAGTCTATGACCTCCTCATAGTTAACATAACATTTATCTCCCAGATGATTGTCCTCAAGTTTGTGATCACCTCTTTCAGTTGTTTGTTCTTTGACACCACCTGAAAAGTAGGAATTAAATCCATAATAATGAACATTTTCCAAATAAGATATGACCTAAAGGTCTATGTTACCAGGTCATTAAATTAAAAAAAAAGTAGAAATTAAAAAACAACTTATATCCAGTATATCTTTACAATTAATAAAATTATTCCGTGCTGACAAATCGTGATCAAACGCTACCTTGAAATGTGGCGCTGGTTATTGTGAAGTCGAATGGAAATTGAGGGACTAAAATAGTTAAAACATTTATTTACTGTTTTACCAATTTTGGGAGATTGAAGTAATTAAAACACATAATACAACAGCAACAAAGATCTTTAGTTTAAAAATTAATTTAAAAAAATAAAAAATAATTTGACGTATTGACATTAAAGTACCAGGTTACCATAAAATACATGAGATATTCACAAACAAACCTGTTCAGTAAGTATGTTATTTTCTTCTAAAACTTGTCTGTATGTCTCAGTGTTTCGTCTTTCATCTAATGTTTTATTATCAGCTTCATCTTTGAGAGGTATCAGACTTTCCATGTGGGTGTACTCCATACCCTGGAAATTTTCAAACAATCTGTAGTCATTTTTACAACTCGAAATTATAATCTCAAGCCAAGTATAATTATTTTCAAATATCATGGCTGCTCGAGGTCATTGCGATGTGCCGTGCCCTTCTCCCGTATCCAGCTACACCCCAAAATATTTAAAGTCTCGGGTGCAAAAATGAAATTAAGATATGTTTTTCTTTCAAGTCATTCAGCAGAACACAATTTTAGCTGTAACGGGGTTTTACAGGGGATACAGGGGATAAAGCGCAGCTGACTTTGAGCTGTCAAATAGTTTGAAACGGCTTATACCCAATGGACAAAACTTGTTATAATATAAAAATAGATATACCTCAACCTGGCAAGTTTCATTACACTTCTCGTATATCAACCTTAGGCGTTTGAACAGTAAACGTATCGTGCGAAGTTGTTCCTGCACCTTAGCTTTCTTATCGTTGCTGGCGTTCTCACCGTGCTGCGTGCCGTTCGGAGGCTGGATAGCTTTCAATGTTTGAAACACATCTTGTGTTCTACTTACTATGTCTTGAACTGTCTCTTGTCCAAACCTATAATTGTTAACACATATAAGAATTGTCCATTTATCAGGTTAACTGTGTAACTTAGAAACTTACTTGCACAAAGAAGCAGTGTTAAAATCCTTGTTCTGCTGTGGCGGGGCTGAGGGGGGAGCTGGAGGAGCTGCTGCCACAGGTACAGTTTGCATAGCTGTAATTTATAATGATTTATATCACGGGATGTGAAATATAGTAACCACCATTTTATTCAACATAATTGCTTGATGTGCAAATTCAAACACATTCTTGACATTTGAATTGATTAGCCAGCAACAATCTGGGCAATACTCTGTTGGGTTAATACCCATTGTTTATTTTGATTTGTGGAGCAGGCATGTGGTATAGTAGTTTTCAGATATCTTAGCTACTTTTAACTTTGCGCCAGTTGCTGCATTGACCTTGGGCCACCACGATTATTATATTTAAATGAATAGAAATATAGCATAGATAACTAATCTCACCTCCAAACTTATGTTATTTTAAAGAAATCTATATTTCTTTAAGATATTAATATTTAGACATTCTTACAAAAAAATCTTTACCTTGTTGTTGTACAACTTGTTGTACCATAGCAGCACCTGGCCCCACACCTCCACCCACTCCCATACCCTGAAATTAACCAATCTAGTAGGTACAGGTCGAGTTCTCACAAATATGAAAATAATATAATACAGTCAATAAATAAAATTATTTTTATCTTCATACTACTTTTTAAATTTCATACATGAAATCTAATAGCAAATTCTTAACCATTTTGAATGTTGCAGTTGTTAATGAAATCAAATGAAAAACAAGCAGTTTAGTCTTTTGCTGCCATCTAATGTAAAATATTCTTTTTTTGTCAATTCAAGTGTTACAGAAAATAAAATTTATTTATTTACTTGTGGTCCCATCGCCATGTTGCCCATTTGGTTTTGCATTGCTGCACCATAAGGTGGTACCATTTGATTGCCCATGCCAACCATACCTGCATTGCCCATTGGACCTGCCATAACACCTGGAATATTACAAAATGTCAATAAATTACAAATACAATTGTAACAAACTGTATTATCAAATATTTTTTTAACCAACGAATTTATATAGGGGTGAAAAATTTAAATTCCAATGTCAAATGTCGAAGAATAAGTTACCTGTTAACTGATTTGGCATTTGTGGAATTTGGCCACCCATTGGTCCACCGCCGTATCCCGTCCTCATGGCTCCGGGATTGCCCTGGAAATTACCAGGGAACTGATGCCCTTGCCCTGCCATGTCGATGAAACACAACTAATGCCGAAAGTTACTTCGAGGTTTTATCTGAGAAAATGAAATCGTCGACTAACTTCTATTGCGTGATATATGTCTAGTAGTTAATGATGTTAAAAATAATTATGTGAAATGAATAAGAAAACCTACATAATAAACATAAAACAGCGAAAATTAAGCAATAGTATATCGGTGGTATTAAACTTGATGTTTGAAATTCACACTGACAGTGACAGAAAATAGCTAACCATAGAGTAAGGCTACAGATAAATGAAAACAATAAAGTGAAAGTGACGTAGAGGGACAGATAAGTTATTGGTCGTATTTTAATTACTTTAAAAGGTATTTCCAACAGGGTTTTTTTGTAAATAAATAAGCACAAACGACGATAGTGTTCACAAAAACTATCGAATTCCATTATCTAACAGGTTAAGTATTTTTCCTTATATTCGTGAAACCAACCAAACGAAAATTATCTCTTTGACTCTAAAAAACTTACAGTAACTTTATTGAATTTGTAGTCCTAGACAATATACGTTCAAAATTAAAAACTCAAAATTGTTTAGATATACCCCAAATTTTTTACAAGATTCCAAAAAGAATGATAGCAAAAGTAAGGTATACTTAAAACAAAATTGATATCACTGCAAATATAAAATTATTGCTTAATAATTCTTAAAGTTTAATTTACATTCAACGCAACCTATACGTACAGTCAGCGTCATATAAATCGTAACAGAGAAGATATGCAAATATATAGGTACACCGGAAGTAATCAATTATATCGGTACAACAAAAGTCCTCAAATTAATAGATACATTCACCCTGCTTAAATACATCGGTACATACACAGCGTCAAATATATGAGTACATGCAAGGTTCCCATAAATATCGTAGCAGACACAGCGTCATAAGTAACGAAGCAGTCAAGGTGTGCAAAAATATCGTAACATTTGACAAAATTGAACTCTATCTCTATGTTCTTGTGATACAATTTGGAATAAACTACTTCTGTTACATTCATTTGACACTTTGTATTAACATTATAGGTTGTCCGGAAGGTTCGTTCCGATTTTCGATAGGAAGGTTAGAATAGACTGTAGCTGAAGTGGATTCATTTTCGGATTTCCACCATTATCAAACGTCACAAAAATTTCTATATTGTGAATAATTTCATTTCATTGGTTGAGATAAAAACTAATTTTTAAAATTTTAGCCAAAAATAAAAGACGTTTTCGGTATAGAGTCGTACCAATATAATTTAAAAACGTTTCCAAAAATTTAAGAGAACATGGTTTCAATTTTCCTTATAAAGCGGCATGAACTTACTGGGCAACCCTATATTTTTCTTCTTCTGTCATAACGCTTAAATATAAAAGTTTGTCACGCTGAATATGACAGATACGTAATAACATATCAAATTTTGCCTTGTCACAATATATACTAGTTTGGCGCAGTATTCTAGTATGTTTGCCGTAATATGTAAGTTTACCGGTTCGAATCTCAGGCTACTTTTTTTTCAATCATTTATCAATCACGGGGTTATTTTTTCATAACCAGTAAAAATTTGTTAATATAAAATTTTTCTCGACAATTTTTTTTTATAATTTTGGCTGTCGGGTAGAAAGAAATTTGAATAAATTAACAACAATTAGGTCATACCATCGCGGGTGAAGTGAGTGGGCGGAGCGTGGATTGTCTTTGCGGGTTTTAAGAATGGTACGCGCGGAAACTATAGGTACAAGTGTTATCTACATATGTGTGCGCGCCCACGCACACTGGAATGTTTATTGCAATCGACCAAAAATTTGATGTAGTTTGGATATTGACATTCAGTTTTTTTTCTTAGTTTCTTAAATATAATCAGTATCAGTAAAAGGTAAAAGTAAAAGTGTTATTTTTACCGGTACAAGTTTAACAAACATGAGTAATAAACAAATTACATGCCAATAGCATCGCTTTATCTCCTTCATTTTTGTTTGAAATAGAAAAGAATTTTATCTACCTAATATCTGTTGTCATCCGCGACGAACATTTTTAGTAAATTTTGAAAAATGGTTTGATGCAAAGTGTCAAATGAATTTAACAGAAGTAGTTTATTCAAAAGAAATTCAGAATTCAAAATACATTGGCGACGAGGATAAAACCGTGAGTACGGAAATAAATTGTATTTGAAAAAAAGGAAAGAGAAGACCTATCTTATCCCTCCAATACACCCGAGCGAAATTGAAACAGCTCTGAAGAAGATGCCGAACGGGAAGGCTGCAGGACCTGACGGGATACCAGTGGAAGCCTGGAAATGCCTGCGCGTACAAGGAATAGTACCACTGGCATAACTTTACTACGAGGGTACTATATCCACGTAGATCATGATTTCGACAAAAAACAATAAGCAAATGAATTTTTAAGACTGTCATCAACCTATGGTTGTCAAATAGTGTGTAGATGGATAAAAGCATTCGGCGATGTGAATCTCGGTGAACCTAATGTGTATACATAACTTCAAGAACATAGGTACAGTCACCTGCAATAAAGTGTAAGTACTTTCGCACGAACAGCGGCGGTAGACGATATAAAGCGACGAATGGCAATCAGTAGGTCAGTCGATATGAGACCTTTGAGCCGGCCGGAGAAGAAGAAGAAGAAGAAGAAGAAGAAGAAGAAGAAGAAGAAGAAGAAGAAGAAGAAGAAGAAGAAGAAGAAGAAGAAGAAGAAGAAGAAGAAGAAGAAGAAGAAGAAGAAGAAGAAGAAGAAGAATCCTAAAAAATGTAACCCTTACTTCCGTGGTTTGATGCAAAGTGTCAAATGAAACAGAAGTAGTTTATTCCAAATTGTATCACAAGTATATAGAGATAGAGTTAAATTTTGTCAAATGTTACGATATTTTTGCACACCTTGACTGCTTCGTTACTTATGACGCTGTGGCTGCTACGATATTTATGGGCACCTTGCATGTACTCATATATATGACGCTGTGTATGTACCGATGTATTTGAGCAAGGTGAATGTATGTATTAATTTGAGGACTTTGGTGTACTGATATAATTGATTACTTTTGGTGTACTTATATATTTGCATATCTTGTCTGTTACGATCTATATGACGCTGACTGTACTTATGATATAAATTCTCCTCTCGTCCAACCCCAAAGGATTTTAACAAAGCAGTTGCAACGATGATTGGGGTGGGCGAATAAGTAACAGAGGGGAGTCGAATTTCCTTGTAGAACGTACTAGAACCGGTATAAATTGTACATCACGGAGGCTTCCCTATTTTACTTTTGAGAATATTTTTCTGTAGTATGAAATTAAGCCACTTTTATATTTAAAATTTTAATAAAAAAATCAAGCTGGTTTATTTACCAATGCTAACTTGAAATTTGTGTTTTAATAGCCCTGATTTTAATACCCAAGATAATAAGATTAAATGCAGTTTTCTATTGATAATTTCGTAATTTTATTTAATTGATAGGTCATTCGGCATTTACGAAAGTTTATTCTAAATTATTTAAAAAAATATAATCAAGACTTTGTTAGTGCTGAATCGGTGTTGACTCCGTGCCAAGATTTCTGACGACACAAATTCCTCTGAACGACAAACATCGTAGAATTTTTTAAAATAAACCGTATCAATCCAGTCCGTTTTAAAACTACAGGGGATTGGGTTGAAATAAAAAACGGTGGTTTTACCTTACAAAATTATTTTCCATTTTAGTTAAACCTAAATTAAGTACAATTATAGTATAATTTAAATTACTCATAACAATTATTAAGTATTTTATTATGAACTTCCATTTATCGAGTACGTAATACATAAATAATTGTGCTTAATTACTGTGAATGAAATGCACTATTTAATGGACAGAACAGTGCATAATCACACTGAAATTTCATACACCTGGTTTGATGATATGTAGTTATATATTAATATAATCTTTTATATAAACTATACAATTAGTAGTATATGTAAGGCAAGATGGCCACTGCTATGGCTAAAACGATTTAATGTTCCATTTGGTATGCATTAAACATTTAAACCTACTTATAATTATAAAGTTTACTGTGTATATTTCAATATAATATTGGACCGAATCATAATTCAAGACTTCGAGAAGACGCTACGAGAGATTCGATTCGGTCGATAAATATTTAACAATTTTTTTTATTACTCTTCCACAATAAATAGTTATCAACATGACGCTTTACAAATATCAACAAAATAAATTACGAATAACAGCAAATTACATTATTATTAATCTTAAGACCTAAGGGTCAGTGATCCCTAATCGGTCTAATGCCCTTAACTTGTACTACATGCCGGCCCCTCAACGCGCTGCCATTTTCCTCCACCTCATCTTACAACCTTCGTTTTCTTCTGTTCTTCCTTTTCGAACTTACTAAGCCATAGACAGCAGATATCATTGAATAAATGAGGCTAAGGTTTATAATGTTGGTTTATATGGGAACGGCCGGCGGAAGTCTAAATTCTTTATCATTAAAATTACGTGGACTAGTAATTGAATTAAACTACCTAGTAAGTACCCTATACCGCTTTGGAGAACAAATTAATGTTAGAAGGGCGTTTATTACGAACTATGTTTTACAGCGATATAATTAAGTACATTTATTAATAGTTATAATATTAAAATAAGCCCTTTATTGCTCTCCATCTGACCTTACGCTAAACCGAGTCCTTCCTGGACACATTGAGCAATATGGACATGTTTCCGACTTATAAAAGCTACATACACATCGCAATTTGCATCGCATTTCCTCTACATCATTCTACTCGCCAGTCTTCTTGACGGACGTGAATCAATCGCTAAGAAAATAAATTTCTTTATTAATAACTATTTTTTTTTATATTTTTACGACATTACATACTACGTTATATTTTAAAAATTCTCTTAGCGACTGTGTAAGCATAAAGTTTAATGAAATTTTATTTTATTTTAGACTTAAATTGCGACTGTTATTTTTTTAGAAAAGCAAGCTGTAATTTGACAAACTTTGATATTTATTTCTTCCAAAACTGCTGTACAAATTAAAATTAATCCTCTCATAAGACTGAAACGTTGTGACATTTGACAAAAGAAATACATGAATACTTTTACTTACATGTTTTATGTAAAAAAAAATCGTCATTCTTAAGAAAAGGAACATAAGATGATTTGAGAGATATAAGAGTTTAGTAATAAAAAGATAATGATAATAAATTTATATAAAACATCGGACAAAACAAAAACTTAAAAATAAAAAAACGATGGTAAACATGTAACTTAAGTAATCAAGCATTCGTTTCAAGTTGTAATTAAAATCAAGAAAATAACTGACTTAAACTGAATGATTTTAAGATATTTTTTAATTCGAAAAGTTCTTTTCAAGCGTTTATTGTCATTCAACAGCTTTCTTTATTTTAATTTCGTCTATTACATTTGAAAATAAGGTGTGATATGTACAGATATATTAATATGTTATTAAAAATTATGTGATTACAGGAAGGCGTGGCAAGAGCTTTGTTTAACATAGCTAATTTTTATCTAGATTAACCTCAATTTAACTTACGTACTTCCTATATTAAGTACAATGTCTACTAAGGTTCGACCCATCACCTTTATCCGTACCTTAAAGATTTAAACATCGAGATGTCTTCAATATTTTGGTATAAGCTCATAGCTTTGGTCATACTTCTTTTTGGTTTGAACGCATTACGTTAGTTTTAAACGTTTTGTTTATATTTGGTTCTGTAGCGGTAACATTTTTTCCAATTCACATTTGGAGATGTCGTATATGTATCTTGGAAGTTTTTTTTTAATTTCATCACAATTTCATCAACAGATTGCGGCTACTAGGACATTAGGACCCCTACGCACTGATGAACACGGATGAATGATGAACAACCGCTAGGGCCTGTATAGCTTCTGTTGTTATCCTGCGTAGAGGCTGTGGGTTAAGTAGGGAATCGTATTATTTCAGTAGTAGAGTAGCCACGGGGTCTGTTGGACGCCGTCTCATTGCATGCGCGCCTCCTGCAGCTGCGGGGGGTAGGGCAGGGGCGGCAGGAGGGGTGCCTGCACGCCGCCGCCCGGCAGCGCGTAATACGGCGACATGTAACCCGCGCCACTTGCAGCCGCTGCTGCAGCTGAAAATTATGACAGATCATATAACTTTGGAGATCTTAATAAAAGGAAATTCATCTGTCTGACGTTTTATTGATTTAAAATAACAGCAATAAATTGTAGCTAATTGACACGTCTACACTTTAAACTCATAATATAAATACTTTATAGTCTAAATCTAGACCGTCGGCTGCACCTGCGGAACATGACCGTGGCAACTGTCCAATAGAAATCGAACCATCTCATCTCATGGATAATAAAGAACCTAAATCGTGGCTTTTATAATTTTTCGTCTTAAACTAATGTTCAAATTAATGAATGCGTCATCTGTCCTACATAAAGTAGTCGAAGCATCTGCAACTCATCTGATTGTTTTTATATCTATAAATATCATTAGTTATTTAATCATCCGAGCGCTAGTTTCCTTTCTCTTTCAATAAAAAAAAACAATAGGCAATAGCATAAACTAGCTACAAATTCCAAGAACTGCAATGAATAATAAGCTTACCTGCAGCTGTTGCGTAAGGATCGAAGCCGGCAGCTGCGTATTGCTGCTGGTAGGCCGCTGCGCCCTGTGCTGCGGCCGCTTGATACTCGTACAAGTGGTTGGCTGCTGCCACGGCTGCGGCGTGCTGCAATGGAGGCAGCTGCACTAGCCCGCCCGCACCCGCGCTTACTCCGCCGCCCACCCCGCTAACTGCATACCCCGGCGCTCCATACACGTACCCCGGGGACAACCTGCCGAATCGACCACACTTTTACAAACAGAAACTAATACATAAATTCTAAGCCATCAACGCCCCTGATAACTTTTCACACTCATTAACTAGAAAACTACGTAGTGTGAAAAATCATCGTCGCAAAATTAAACACATTTTCAATCTGTCATCACACTCTACCTAGCCCCGTTAGCCTTGTGAGGCGCGAGCTTGTCATGTTAGGTTAGTAGACATCGATCAGCCTAGTCCGGGCGCGTCAGACTTTTGCAGTCTGGACTTCGTCCCCGCGGACGGCCGCCACCGTGCGTCACTGCCACCAAAGATTAAAAAAGAAACCTAATAAAAATGTCGGCTAGTAACGTCGTCTTGACCGTAATTCGGTCGAACGTCACGAATCTCGTAGAAATTTACTTAAAATATGCGTTATTATTGCACATCGTTTCTATATCGCTTAGATCCAATCTAATTTTTGAATGTAAAATATGACTGTGTTTACTAATTGCCAAAATATTATAGAATAATTAAATTAAAATATAACACATTATATATCTATACATTTTATTTTGCTAAACGTCAAGTGCCAGTAGTTTGGCATAAATAATTTTTAAATATATCTACTTATATGTTGTTTTATTATGTAGTTAAGAAAATTCTTAACCTATTTTAAAAAAAAATAAAGCCATTAGTCAGTGGGGAAAAATAGGAGAAGTGACAAGTTTTGTGATTTAGTTTGGCCTATTTTAAAAGATTTTTTAATTTAGAGATTTAAAGGACGGCCGTATGTAGGAATCATCACTAATTTATTTTCATTTTTAGATCAGACATAATATTTAATTTTCTTTGACATTATCGAAATTTTGATCCACCGTTTATGGTAGTGATAAAAAATGTCAACTTCGCATAATTCCCTTTATAGTGAGACGCGGATCGGTCAAGTCTTGCGGAGGAGTGCTCTCCAGAACGTGCCGCATCAGGCTCATCGGAGAGCTCTCAGCCGCGGACACGTTTTATTTCTAAACATTTTCTCCAACGTTCGTCTTTTTTCAACGACATAGCGATCGAGAGGGACGAATAGATTTCTGTTTGAGATTCGCTTTCGACGGATCAGCTCGACGCAGGCTGTGGGGCCGACGACGCATGCGCGGATCACGCCCGCCTGCTAACTCCGCCCGGTCACTACGCCCACCTGTGGGCCGCTAGTACTATCACAATGTGCAATACCTACATCTTAACAGTATTTAAACAAACGACAAATACGCATCTATAAGCCTGGAATGTCTCGTCAAAACTCTCATCTAATACGACATAAAGGGTGTATCAAAGTTATTACAGGAAGATCTGAAGAGATGTCACAAAACACGCGTAAAGAGCATTATAAAACTGGCGAAACATCACACAAGCTGCCACATCTACATAGGAACAGACAATAACTAAGATTCGTTTAATATCACATCTATCATTATTATATTACTGTTAGATGTCTAAAGGTTCCAGTTTTAGTTTTCAATACTTACAATATCAGTTACTTACATGCACACCTATTTACGTAGAAAATGCTCGGGGTGATGTCGAAACACCTACATACACATATAATAGGGAAGCCAACCGCCAACATACGCCTACGTACTCATTAATTTAGAATTAAAACCTGACAATGAGTAATCGAATTGAGCTTGCGCTCGATTGTTTTTTTCATTAGGTTGGAATTTCGATGAATAAATAATAGAGTAGTTGTTCGGCGGCGGAACTGTGGCATTGGGTTATCATCGATCTATTGCTCACGTAACACGTCAGTGGAAGTAAAGGAAAAATTCACATTTTTTGCTGCACGGAAAGTGAAATGACAAAATACTAGATCTGAGCATAGTGTTTAAGTACATGTTGAATCGAGGCAACAAATAAAGCTACACTTTGTTCTAAAATTCAGTTCACAGAGTAAGGCCGCGTAACAAAACACCCTGTAGCCTGAGACGCGCTCACAACTTTTTATAATGCTATTATAGATGTCAAAGACATAACAGGCAATGCATATATTTTTTATCAATGAGAATTTTCATATCGTAAGAACACATCATGACATTTTTTAAAAGCGAAGTTTTGCGCGCAACAAGCTTCTAAGGTAAGTTTGGTTACGCGCTAAAAACTTAGTAAGTGTATTAAACGAAATCCACCACCAACAAAAAAATCATTTCAAATCAACAAAAATCTTACACGAACACGGCATATAAAAACATAAATAAAATATAAGTAAGAAAACATCGAGTGTTGGTAACGATGCGCATCTCGTGCGGGCTGAGCGGCGCCTGCGACTGGCTGCGCCGGCACCGGCGCCGCCCAAGCCCCTTATAGCTTTTTAAAACGTAAACATTAAAAACCCAATCGACTAATTCACACCCAAAACGAAAAAAATCCACTCTCACGCTCACGCTTGCCATAGATACCTATGTGAAAATGTTTGTTATATAGATAAGGTGAGACGTCCGCTGGGTGTCGCGCCGCCGGCCGTGCGCAGGCGCCGCCCGCCTCATCTACCGAGACAAAACTCAGCTCAGCACCTCCGCTCAAACTCGGCTCGAGCACCTGCCCCTCGGGGCTCACTTACCACCGCTCGCCGCGCACTTTACCTAACGCGGTAAGTAGTGCACCTCACATCAATAAAGCTCTAGCTTCGTGTCAAATCTACTTATGATGTATCCGTAAGGTATGTAAGAGTAAGATTCGGCTCATTCTTGCCTTATACTGTTATAATAATTGCAGATCTGATTTTTGTCTCGTGAGATGTGTAAGCAACGGCATGGAGCCGCTGTGCTGGCAAATTCGTAAGTGTATGTACCATTGAACATTGAATCGCATGTGTGGAAGTGAAACAGATATCAACTCACCCGTACGGCGACTGTAGCATTGTGGGGTAGCCGGCGCGTACGCCCGCTGCCGCTGCCGCCGCCAACCCAAAGCCTGCGACAAACACACGAACATGTCAACACCGGTAATGAAGTGACAACGGAAATAACATCAAGATACCCCGAAAAAGTATCTCTCGTCGGCCGTGCTAGATGCATCTATTTTCGCTCTCACTTAACGGAAGCGACCAGAGTCTCGGCTAAAAGAAATATCACGGCATATTGGACCGCATCCAAATGACACGAGAATCAACTTAGCGCAGGCGACTTTAGAATGTTAATTTCTTTTTATTGCATTGTTAAGCGGCGCGGGGCGGCGGCTATTTCGGTCGCTCGCCGCCCGCCCGGGCCGGCGTCCAGGGACATGCCTCTTGACAAGAAGACGACAAACGCTGGCTATAAATGGCTTTGAGACGCTAACATGCCGCGGCGAACGCGAATACGTTGATCTATACGCTTGTTCTTCGATGTCAGCGATTGAAATTTAAAAATGTCTCTTAAGTCTAAATTACGCTGCAAAAAGAATACAATTATCAAGTCTTGGAATTAATTATGTCTGAACGAACTAGTTTATAATCTAGTAAACCCTGTATCATTAACAAAACTACGTTAAATTTATTACATTAAGAATTAAAAGGAGGTCTCCCAAGGAGACGCGGCAAGTTGCTGCTTAGGTACGTGAAGGTAAGTTCAGGATCTTAGGCGTTCAATTTTACAGTTCGTCTCTGGCCAGTCATCATTAAAACAAGCTGCCATCCCCTAATATTTAATTGAAGGTTAAACATATAATCAGTCAGACATAGATGACATTAGGGAAATGTGCAATTTCAACAATAGTCAGCAATCAAACATGTAACATTGATTAACGCTAGGTGATCAGAAGAGCGTGACCTCTTCCGAATTGAGCGGCTTTGCCTGGCGCGGTGCGACAACGGTGTTGTGGTGTAATGCCCGTGATTGCGACAGATGACATCCGGGGCAGTACGGATGTTTGCTTCGGCTACCACGGTAATACACGAGGAAGACCACCGTATCATGTCACCCGCCATCACGTTTAGTAATTACTTGTAATTTGCAATCAAATTATTTAGTCATTTATTGAAACGCAAAGCCGAGGCACTATCATTGTGAAACATTTGAAAGAAAATACTTTGAAAGCCTTTGTTTTTAGCCAATTAAAGTGAACGTACCAAGAGTTTGTATTTAATTCAGAACCCATTGTTTTTGAACTAAAGTTAACCATCGATGTATGTATTTACAAATTGATTAATACCGAAAAATTAACTAATCATTTCAATTTACTTATTTAAACAGCCGATAATGTTTAATTTGTCGAACGACCACAAATTGTTGTTCAAAGCCGAAAAGTACCCAAAGGGTTGGTCGCGTGCAGTAAATGCGCGTGATGCTACCCCCCCCCCCCCCCCCTGTCCGATCGATGGCCTGCCATTTGACGGCCGAGGTCGAACTGTCCACCATAAAGCTTATCTGATTCATTAAATTTTTCCTCTATATCCATTGTGGTTCGGACCAAATGCGACGCTCTTTTGTTGATGTGACCCAGTTCGTTCAGTATAAATCGATTGTGAACGTCATTTCAATTGAAATTACATAAATCATTTTAACTTGTCTTTTGTGTTTAAAGCTAAAGTAATAAAGTCCGGGATAAAGCCAGTGTCTCGCAGCAGTAAATAAAGTTTTTATTGTATTTTTTTGCGCAGTTACAGGATAAGTTCTGGACTTGGGGTCGTTGAACTGCTAAGCCGACTCAGGGTGCTTAGCATCGCTTGTAAGGATTCTACGGAAATACGATTTTAGACGCGGACGGAATGAGCGCTGTAGTATCGTATACTTGTATAACAAATTATTATCTTTATTAAATTCTTGGCTGTAAACTATAAGTGGATGTTTACTTTATCAATTGTTTTTTTACAAATTTCAACAACTTTTAGTTTTTAATGAAAGCGTACAGATAAAAGTACAACAATGACTTACTAGAATTTTGCATATTTGCAATTAGCAAGATAAAAGTGCATACATCAAAGGGGTTAGACAAAATGCATTCGCTTCGAAGCAATTCCATAGCGAACTTCAAAAATGTATGGGACTGAGACGCGACAATCACGTGACTTATCGAAATTATTCTCAGTTACATACATTTTTAAAGTTCGATATGGAGGTATACTTATTCACAGATAACCTTAACATTCTATGTAGCGATGACTTTCTTAATCTGAAACAGATTGAAAAGTTTCACAAATAAAATGTGCTATTTTACGACGCTTTATTGACGTAATGTTTTATTGCATTCAAGTTGCTATGTTTTCGAAATGATATTTTCACGTATTGACGTCTTTAGGAAATACTAAATGAAATTTAAAGACGATCATGTAATCGTTAATCTGTTAACGAGCCGGTGTTATAGTGCAAATACATTGCGAATACGTCGAAAATTGGTCATTAACGCTTTCAAAAGCAAGCTCGCTTTGTTTCCAACAATGTGGCATCGCGAACGAGAATAGACTGACCAACCAAGTCGTGCCCTAGTTTTGGGCCGTCCACAGCATCTTAATCTTATGGTCGACACAATGTTGGTCATGTCTTGCATTTATTTAAAGATGGCCGAGAACAAATTGCAGTTCGCGTTTGCATAATTACAACATTTTTCCGAAATATGTCGGAATTCATCGAGGAACCATTATTTAAATCAATGGAGTTATATAAAAGTATTATACTAAAGTACTAAACTTATACCATTTCTTTTAAATACTTTCGTAAAGAGAATCTTTGATCTTATTTATAGTAGAGCAAGAGATTTACCATTATCTTGCGCGAACTGATATGATTCAGTTTTAAGTGACCTATCTTATGCGAGATAAATTGACGCATGCGCGTTATAGACATACAGAATATAAAATGGCGGGAAAATATGAGGTTTTGGCGCGAAGCCAGTGTCGGTGTCGCGGCAGGGGCAGAGGCGGCTGCGACGACGTTCCCAAAACTGCGTATATTTAGACAAAATAAAGAGCGAGCCGAAGACAAAACGAGAGTCGAGTCTGTTTTATAAATAACCAAGTCGTTGCCGCTCGGCGGCGGCCGCGCGGCCAGCCTCTGCGCGCCAGCTGTTATACATAAATAATAATTAAGACACCAAGAAAACTACGCGACTTCAATTTCCATCTAACATACAAAGCCATTTCAAATATCAACTTGACAAAAATATAAATAACTAACAAGGTTTCTATCTTTTTTTAGGTTAAAAGGAACCTTTAGTTTGTTCCCCGAATTTTATTCGATGTTACCACCTTTTTGCGACGAAGATGTTGAGTCATCTAGGTAGTGCAACCTTACATAGATTGTAGAGTCTCTTGGTCTATGGAAGTTGATATTCTATAATTAAATTGTCACCTCAGCCAGGTTGTGATATTGGGAATCATTAAATGGCTTCACACGGAAGTGGAGACAGCTCAAGTTACACGGACGTAAGGGTGAAAGCAACCGACATAGGCAAGAGGACATTCTATCATATTATCATTCATCTACTTCCCGTCTATTTTAAATTGTCACTGCCACCAAAAGCCCACTTTATAAGAGGTTCAAAGAAAAGTTTTAATAGTGTATTCATATTTTTACAATTTTATAAAAAAAAACTAGCTGTCGCCCGCGACTCCGTCCGCATGTAAAAAATGAATGAATAAATAGTATCCTATATCCGTCTCCTGGCTCTAAGCTACCTGCTCACCAATTTTCAGCCATATCGGTAAAGCCGTTCTGGAATTATAAATAGTGTAACTAACACGACTTTCTTTTATATATATAAGATTCGAAATATATATATAATATCAGAATTTAAACGATGTATATATGCATAAATACAATAATGGACAATAACCAAGTTACGAATGTATAGAATTGGTAATTTAGGAATAACTTTTTCAATAGTTCCACCCTCTCGTTCAACTTTGACTTTTAAATAATTACATCCATCGCGACGACCGGAGTGTCCGAAGTTCAACTTAAGCTATATTAGCTCACGGTCACATTACAATCCAGTAAAGCCGTAAAAGAGTCAGCAGTAAATTAAAAAAAAGAAGTCGTAAGTCTCTCAACCATTACATTAACCTTAAAAGTACAAATAACTTTTGAACTATGTAAGTAAGCAGTTAGATAAGTTACTTAATTGGAAAAAATGTATACGCTTATAAAAAATAAACATAAAAATATCAAACAATTTACTTATAGACTCAAAAATATAAATTTAAGTAATTGAATTTCTACTTATACTTTTTGTCGCATTATAAATTCGTAAAATCTTAAACGTTAAATGGCCAAAATTGTCTATTTTGGCCATTTAACCCTTATTAGCCTAGAGTTTCAATTTTGATACCAATCTTTTAAACCGAATGTTCACATTACTATTAGTTTTTTTATAGGTTGGCTGTACTATTTTACTGTTGTATAATATTCTTTCCAACAAAATAAAAAAAAATCATTATTGTTTTATTTTATCAAGCAAACACAGTAATATTAAAAGTAAATCACTTTCGTATGTAAATCAGGCTACTAAGGGTTAAGACTATATGGATTAAAAATTATCAGTTAACTTAATTTTAGTGACGACTACGGCACACATCCGACACGACGCGGAAGACGTAGCTCAGTTGGATTGCGTTCAACTCCGGCGTTATTAATGCGTCCCTGTCGTAAATCGATGGACACGTCTTTTTAAAGTACAGACAACATGTAAAGTAAAATTTACAATTATAGATTTAAAAACTTTATTTTTAAACTACAATCAAAAATCTTATGCATATATAAAAAATTGTTCGAAAAATACAAAGGAAATCTAAGAAAGTTTTTTTTATTGCATAATGTAATTTATGTCGATTTTACATGAGAACATACTTTTTTAAATGTAAGTTTTCACATTGACTCATCATCATCATCAACCTGCCCTTATCCTTATCGAGGGTCCGCACAATATGTGCTACTCCTCCATACATCTCTATCAGGCCATCATATCCGAGTCTACCCGAGTTATTCCATACTTTTTTT